CCCCAAAACCCCAAAACCCCAAAACCCCAAAACCCCAGACTAACTTTTAGAGGTTGATTCGGCCAATTGATCTGTAGAAAGATAAAATTCAGATATTATTAAGATGAATTATGCTATGTATCCACCTCTCTAGTTATCTGTTCTTTATTCTCTTCTTGTCTGTTCAAAGGGAAGGTCTCGTAATTCTTATCACTATGATCATTAGATAATCTGAAGTTAATTTCGTTATGTTTACATGTCAGATTTGTTATTAAAGCTACCTTCTTCTAAAAGTGAATTTTGTGTGCAATAAGAATAATCGAAACAAGAAAATTTCACTAATTCGTAACAATTATACTATGTAGCGATAAGAATTTTATGCTTTAATTCAGCATGTTTGAAGTTAAAACGGGTTAAAAGTATTGAGAACGGTTGTCAACCACACTGTACCTATGGATCAGGTGGGCCTACAACTAATTGATCAAAAATTTGAAGTTATTTTATCTCTACACAGGCTAAATTAAGGTACAAAACTTTGAGGCTATCATGGTGTAATTCTCAAACAATCAAAATTGGTTACTTTAACATTCTTTGTGTATCGTCCTCCTCTTCATCAGGAAAGCTGTATGGCTCAGAGCCATCTTCTATTTTCCTAAAAGTGGCACTGGTTCATGGGGCACTGTTTCTCTCACCCTTATGCTTGCTGACTAGATTACCTACATTTTAGACATGAACATACTAAGTTGGTGGTCACTGTCGTACCAGGTGAAGTCAACAACCATCTGTTTCTGGAAATTAAACACGAAGTCTTTTGGATCAATGACATAATAATGAACAATCGTTATCAGTAGCAAAAACACCGCAAAGGTTGCCAAAAATATAAGATTATATGCGTCAAACTCATTAATCGGGTCCATATCCCACGCAGCAATTCTGATAGCAGATCCTGAGAAATCAAAGAAAGTCTTTATAATAGTCAGTGTTGACAAAATGGTTTCAAACTTATTAAAAGGAACAATTCTGTTGAAACTTCTTGAATAACTCATCATACACAGAGAAGCAAGGAAAGTAAACACGAGGATGTACACTCTGAAGACCGATTTTAGGTTAAAGTCTCTGATGACGATTGCATCTGTTTCCTCCATAATATACTCTGCTGTCATCGCAATTGGAACAGTGATAATGTAGATTAAGATTACTAAAGTATTCTCTCTCTGGAAACTATAAGCTTCAGCATAAGTCTTTATCTTTAGGAAGAAAAAGTAGAGAATTCTGCCTCTTCCTTCAAGCAGGTAACAGTATTTTACGAAATAATCTCTAAGAAGAGTCTTCTGTATAAGGCCATACTCGCTCATGGGATATTGATGTTTGAACCTATAATGGTAAAACCCAAGTCTTACATTTTCTGTCAAGGAATTCTTTCCTGAACGATCCTCCTCTTCATGGCTGGATACTCTGTGCAGAACTTCCACAAGTAAAATGTCAGCTTCTCAGACACCAACAAGTAGAAGGAAAGGATGAACAAACTGTTCAGGATGTTGATGACGATCAGGAATGCACTGGCGCCTTTGTAGACTGGAGAAGCAATCATGATCAAGACCAGGATCACCCCCAATGTTACGAATGAGATGAACATAGCAACTTTAGACTCGGCCGAGTACTCTGCATAATAGTGCTTACGCATGTTGATGAATAACATTATCAGGGCTATAAAACCATGAGACCAGAAAATCTACATAAGAGCAAATTTAATTGCTATGTTAAATTAGAAATTTCATTTAAAGTTTATAAAGCTTTTCTGTAAAATAACGTTTCTCTTAATTTCCTTTAACGTAATAATATTGGAAATTGAGTACATTAAGCCAGGACTACTCTAAGGGTGACCAAATCTCTCAATTTAGGGGTTTGGAAAACCTAAAGGTATTCTAAACTGTATGGATAATGTTGCTATTTTGGTGTAGAATATGATATCTCCGATTCGGATGATTTCTATTATAAATTTTCTCAAATTCGGAGAATACTAGGAAATATTGTAAAAAATATCCTTAGCTGTCTGAACTATTGAAATCTTCCTGGATTTGGTACAATCGAAGTTTGTGAGTTGATGCAAAGGCTCTATTCCATGCTAAATTCTTCCAAGAATACAGAGGCTGCATGATCTAAACTGTCTTACCTAAAAATGCTGCTCCTTCTGTGACTCCACAGCAGACTATGAAATCTGCGCTATCATAGTGCCAATCTGCCATATCAGAAATAATTTGAAAATATTATAAAAATGAGATATTGGGGTTTTGGGGTTTTGGGGTTTTGGGGTTTTGGGG